GAATATGTATCAAAACATAGGCGGAAGGAAGAAAGGAGAATCCGGCTGCAGGTACGGGAGTTCAAGATACTTGCCTCGCTTTTGTGTACGCTTGAAATTCTCCATAGTAAACAGAAATGCTCACAGGCCGCTGGGTTTTGCCAACTTCTTAGTAAATTCTGTCCCGCCAAGTTGCCAGTTCATCTCATTGAGAGATTTTTGTGTGTACTTGTAGTGAACCTCCATTCTAATCAGGTAGGTTATTTTTTTACGGACGGGGTCTTGCTGTGTCACCCAGGCTGGAGGGCAGTGGCCCAGTCACAGCTCACTGCAGCCTCCAACTCCGAGACTCAAGCGATCCACCTTGGCCTCCCAAAGTGTTGAGATTACAGATGTGGGCCATCACGTCCGGCCCTGGCCTCAGTTTTTTATGAACATGAAAAATGGCTTTACACCTGCAGTGGCAAAGACTGTATGTATTTGTGTGATTTACTGCAGCTAAGCTTGCAGCATAAGAGCAGAGATCCTATCTGTCACAGTCACATTGAGTCCCATGGTCTGACCCTCCAAACACCCAGGAGGAACATCTGCTGTGGGAAGGAGCTCAGGGTACCAGCAGTTACCACCCTTCTCCACGGGGGAAAACAAACAGCCACAGGGGGGCAGCAGAGAGCCAGGAGGGCAGCCAGACCAGACAACTGGGGTGGGTGCAGGGGCTTAGTTTATTTTTGTTTTTGTTTTCTATTTTTCTTTCAGAGGAAAGAGTAGATGGTGGAAACGCAGGTTTTGTTTTGGTTTTTTTTAGGTGTTATTAGCAAAATGCAACCTTTGCCATCACATGAGTCTGAACATTTTCACAGAGATGTGAGCTGGGCCTTGAAGGACAGATCTAGTGTTAGGTGGGAAGAGAGCAGAGTGAGCTCCAGACTATTCCACCCTTCCTGTCTGCTGCCCCTGACAAGTGTCTTACCCTCTCTGTGCCTCAGCGTCCTCCTCTGTACAATGCGGGTGATAGCACCTACGCCAGAGGCTGCCGTGCCAGCACAGTGAATGGAGTCCACGCAGGCAGCCCAGGGCCCGGCGCAGAGGAGGACCACTTGTGAGCTCCTGTGACGCTTATGAAGAAGAGGAGCAAAGGCACGAGGTGGGGTGGCACGGGGGTACTTGTGTGGAATGGGCTCTGTGGGAAACGCAGGTGGGCAGCGAGGACGGGCCGCGACTGTGCGGGCCTTGAAGGCCAGACCGTGGAGCCCGGCCAGGGCGCTGGGGAGCAGGGGCCGCAGTGGGGAAGCTGCCAGAGGCCACCCCAGGGCGTCCTGAGGGGCTGAGGCTCTGCCCTCTCTACCCAACAGCACCGCCAGCCCCAAGGCTGCTGGGTGCTGGTGTGTCTACCTGTCTCCTGAAGACCCACTGTGGCAGCTGTCAGATATCCCCAGGGTGACCAAGGTAGCACAAGTCTGGGCCTCTCTGTGGAGCAAACTCACCCCCAGCAGCCCCTGCCTCGAGGGCCATTCAGAGAAGT